AAGTTAAAATGATATTCCATACGGATTTTTAAAAAATCTCTTATGTTCGCTTTCGCAAGTTTGATATTTTTTTCCCCAGGTGCATGCGCATTTCGTCAGAACTCACGCGTGAGCACTAGAAGTGCGCATACTTAATTACTTGAAATTTACGTACAGAAGCTGACGTAATTTTGCGAAATCTCCCAAATAAAATTTAAAATTCACCAGGAAATAAATATATATATATATATATATTTTTTTTTTTTTTTAAATTTTTTTTCTTCCAAGCATTTCGCTCGTTATTTTTTTCTTCTTTTTTATAGCTTTTCACTATTTTTTTTCCATCATTTTTTATAGCTTTTCGCTATTATCAACTGTTTAATGTGGATTCATTCATCAATATTGGCAAGTTCTTATCACGTCCGGGTCACCAATTTGGGGAATTAATTATCGACTATGTCAACCGTAATCTTTCAAAAGGTACCTCAAGGTAGAATCGAGTTAACATGTCTTAGATACAAGCGATTTGGTATTTAATATTTATAGTGGTAGTTACGCCACAGGTTTCGTAATTATTAGTCGTATCACGGATTTAGTATTGTGAAAACGGCTTAATAAAAATAAAGGTGAAAGCAAATTTCATCCAAAAAATATCAAAATAACATTTAATTAGTAATGATGTTTGAAATTCAGCTTTGCAGTATGACGTAATGTAATATTTACTAGATTCCTGCATCTGAGATTATTTGTATTATTGTTATAGTTTGTATTATTAGCGTGATATCATATTCTGTATTATTCCTACTTTATAATGACTGAAGATGGCAACTTCTATTATTTTTTATAGAATGTAATACGTTTGTAAGTTGTTTTTTAAGATGTCAAAGAGCTTTTGCAATTATTAATACGAGAAAAATTTTAATATTTTTTGAAAATACGTTTTATTTAACCCCTCAATTATGCCACCAAAACGAAGTGCCGTTGGTCGATCTACAAATCAAGCGAAAAGGAGAAGAGAAAAACGAGCTTCAGAAACAAGTGAGCAGAGACAAACTAGGCAAGAAAGAGATCGAGTTCACATTGCTCTTGCTCGAACATTAGAAACGAGTGAACAGAGGCAAGAAAGAGATCGAGTTCACATTGCTCTTGCTCGAACATTAGAAACGAGTGAACAGAGGCAAGCAAGGCAGCAAAGGAATCGAATTCGCGGAACGCAGACAAGACGAACGATACATACTAATTTGAATTTATGTGGTTTCAATTACAATCCTCTTTACAATTACAGTCTTCACCCAAGTGTAATTATTGGAAAAATGGATAAAAAGTGTACGTATTGTGGTGCTCAAAAATTTAAAAATGAAGCACCAGGTATGTGCTGTGCAGGTGGAAAAGTAAAGTTACCAGACTTGCGTTCACCACCTGAACCATTATTAACTTTAGTATCAGGTGAAACAAGTCAATCAAAAATTTTTTTGAAAAATATGCGCAAGTACAATTCATGCTTCCAAATGACATCGTTCGGAGTAACAAATATCGTTAGCGCAAATTATATGCCAACATTTAAAGTACAAGGGCAAATTTATCCCCATGCTGGATCACTACTACTCTTGACAAATGCTGATCACAAATATCTTCAGATATATTTTATGGGAAATACTGACGAACAAATCAACAGACGGTGTCAACTGAATATGAGTACTAAACGAGAGATTGTCGCTGAATGTTGGTGACAATCACGGTGGTCCTTTTCAGGAATCTTCGAATGCTGGCAATATACAGCTTTTGTTGTTTTACGTCGGGATTGTTTGTTATAGGCAGAAAGCAAGATCAGGTTAAATTGAACCACGTTTCCCAGAAGTCTGTTACTTATAATAAAATAACAGGGAACAACAATATTTTTCCCACTCGTTTATGCAGAATGACCAATTTTTATTTTAAGAAAAAGTTAAATGGACAATGGAAATACCTTAATTAGTTATTTATTTATTTCAATCTGATGTACACACGAGCTGCAAGTAAAAATTAAAAGCAACGATTAAATTTATTTTTAGTGACAGAAATAATATTATTTTCAAAATATTTACATGTTCAAATTATCATCTTAATAAAAGTTGATGAAATTACACACACATACATATATATATATATATTCTCATTAATAATTTTGATTGGCTCTAACTTTAATCATAATCATTAAGGATTTTCTTTATTAGTTATTAAACATATTTTTAAATTCAATTAATAAAAATATCTTTATATCTTTCTTAAATTTGCTATTTAATTTTGATTTGAAATTTTCAGAACTTTTCTTATTTCTTAATTGTAATTTTTACAAATTTCGTTATAAGATGCACAAAATATAGTTTACTTGCACTAAACCCAATTCAATGATCGAAAATTTGATTTTATTGCTACTTATTTCATATATTTGATTTTAATATTAAATTAGTTTTAATGGATACTCTTTTTAACGTATTTTTCACCGTCAACGAACATCCGATTCACATTGTGAATTTACACATCTTTTGTGCTCAACTTTTATAACATTTGTATTTATACAAGACTCTAAGGACTAAGGAACCTATAATTCTTTCCTTATTCAAAAACTAGCTGCTTGCATTCATATTACGTAGTATATATTTTAAATCTTAAAATCTAATTTCGTTATTCGATATATATAGATAAAAAAAATCATAAGTGATGCGAAGTGTGTGGTCATATTTTTTGCAAATTTAACCTCTCCTCCACAAAGAAATTTCGAAAAATGATAATTAAACACAGCTGCTTTTTCTTAATTTAGTGAATAAAAAAAATTATTTAACGTAAATTTTGGAAATAAATTTTTGCAACACAACCTTTACGTAATTTGATTACTTCTTTTCCAGTTGCAATGAGAATATAATTAAAAATATATTATAAGCAAATATTTTATGTAGTATAAACAAAGACATGCACAAAAACTGCAAACATGCACAACATAGATTTTTTTTCACATCAAAAATCCCATTTTTTACATCAGGTTAAAAGCTCNATCAAACCATTGCATCAAAATTTTGTAAATCAAATTTTTTTTCATAAAAATATCAAATTGCCGGAGTATTAACTTGCTACAACTGCGAAAAATATTCTGTAAACATGAATCGTAGCAGTATGTTATGGAATCATTGTAATGGATAAATAAATAGAGCTTTTATCGCATAGAAATTCACTACCTAATTTCATTATAAGACCGAAAATTTTTGATACAAAACATCTTTCGTTTTTTTTCCTTTTATTATGTGAAATTTCGTACTTAGAAATGGTTGTTACCTACTCTTAAAATGGAAGCTCAAAATAATAAAATTTATTATCAATGCTTCAAAAAAAAAAAATATATATGTACTGCGAACATTTAGTTAGGCTTTGTGGTGCCCCCCTATCCTCTGGTGCCCTATAGGGCACGTGCTTAGTGTGCTTAATGGTTAATCCGACCTTGGAAATACCTGATGAAGAAACAACATATAAATCCATAGATACTGTTGTCAATCAAGATGAATCAGTTAATTATCCAATAAAATTTTTAAATTCATTGGATCTACCAGGAATGCCACCGCATATTTTATCTTTGAAAATTGGTTCCCCAATCATCCTTCTACGAAATATACATCCGCCGCGACTATGCAATGGGACTAGGCTATCAGTAAAAAAATTAATGAATAACATAATTGAGGCAACCATTTTAAATGGAAAACACCAAGGAGAACATGATCTAATACCACGCATTCCCATGATACCAACGGATACTATATTTGAATTCAAACGTCTACAGTTTCCAGTACGACTAGCCTTTGCTATGACCATTAACATCGCACAGGGACAATCATTGCAAGTATGTGGATTAAATTTGACAAATCCATGCTTCTCACGTGGACAGCTGTACGTTGCGTGTTCACGAGTAGGAAAACCATCAAATTTATTTGTTCTTGCATCAGATAGGAAAACAAAAAATTTTGTATATTTACAAGCACTACTAAGATAAAGTTCACCATCAATCATCAAATATCATTCATTTCATGATGATATCGTTTGCAATCTATATATATATATTTCTCTTACACGGCACCAAAAAAAAGCCTCATTACAACTCCCCGAATGGCAACGTTAGAAAATCGACCAATGATTGCTGCTAAAAATGTCACATGCCAAATCTAGCTCAGGTGGCTCAACATATAGCGCTTTTAAAAACGGAAGCAATATCCAGAGTGAGCATTGTCAGGTTGTTCAATTCAGATTCATGCCCTAAAAACATGATAATAAAATTTAATGCCATCTAAAGGACTCTGTAATGGCACTAGATTAATTGTTACAAACTTGCAGCGTAATTTAATTGAAGCTAAACTGATTGATGATGATGAAGCAGGTACTGTTTCGTACTTCCGATAAATCTACCCGATCTATCCAGCGATGAAATAACTTAAATTTACAAGAAATACCTGCGTACACATATTTACAAAAGCAACCATTTTATTTTCGTAGAACACATCTAGCACAACATTCTTTCTGTTGCCACTCACACTTTTTATATATACACATATCAAGTTATTAATATTTACACTTTAAATGAATGACGTCATCTTATGAGAGTGACGTAACACTCCCACCTTTTGATTATGTGTATTCCAATAATCAAAATAACAAGAAATCTAATATAAATTNTTTATTTTCGTAGAACACATCTAGCACAACATTCTTTCTGTTGCCACTCACACTTTTCATATATACACAGGCTAAAAAATCGTTTTAGTTAATATTTACACTTTAAATGAATGACGTCATCTTATGAGAGTGACGTAACACTCCCACCTTTTGATTATGTGTATTCCAATAATCAAAATAACAAANTCCGCTCCTATCAAAAGTTCGATTTGTTGAGAATCTTTAATTATGTGTCCAAATATCTTGATGGCATCTTAACAGTTCGGCCAATTCTTGTGGTAACGATGTTTCGTAAGGTACTTGAGAAATTATTATACTTGTCACCTTCATTTGAAGTTGCGCTTTTCGTTTGGAGTTGAACCTTCATTTGGTGTCGAACGTATTTCCAGCGGATAAATCCGCTGCACTGGCATCAAAAACTCGGTATGTGCTGTTTTAAGTCGAGCCACGCGTATCCTTTTATCCTTACCAGGATAGACGGTAATAACTTTAGCCATCGGCCAGTGTAATCTTTTCTTTAAGTCATCTTCGATTAACACAATCTTGCCAACCTTTAGATCATAATAGTTATTCTTCTTGCGTGGTTGAAGAAGTGTCGCTAGGTATTCGCAGCGAAATCTTTTCCTCAACTGTTCTCTTAACGTCTGTTGATACCTATAGCGTTTTTTAAGATCTATTGTATCCAGCTGATCTAAATCAGGTACTCCCACCGTCGAGATCTCTTGTAAAAACATGGACGGAGAAAGAGGTATTAAGTCATCCAGATCTTCTGAGAGGTATGTAAGAGGTCTTGAATTGATAACTGACTCGCAGTCACATAGAACGCTACACATTTCTTCGTATGAAAGGCATGCTTTCCCCAAAAATTTTCGAAGAATATTTTTTACCAATTTCCCCATAATCTCCCAAAAGCCTCCCCTCCAGGGTGCAGACGGTGGATTAAATTTCCATTCAATTTTGTATACTGATGTTTCAGCTTCAATTGACTTCCAATCTAAGGACTGAAGTAGATTCTCAGCTCCTATAAAAATACTCCCGTTGTCACAATAGATGATGTGAGGTCTTCCTCGGCGAGCAATGAATCTTCGTAAACTCAAAAGGAACGTCTTAGTTGAAAGTGACTGCACCAGTTCGAGATGTATTGATCGATAAACGGCACATGTGTAGATGACAATCCAACTTTTCGCACCTTCCTTTAAATGAAGAGGTCCTGCAAGATCTATCCCGACCACTTCAAAAACAGAAACTTCTTTAACTCTGTCTTCAGGTAAACCTACGGGAACAGTTTTTATACTTCGTGCATTATATCGTTTGCATCTAACACAGGTCTTGAGGATGCGACGAACTGCTCGACGTCCATTAATAATCCAATAATTTTCTCTTAAATTGAACAGTAAAATTTGCAGTCCAGCATGTAAACATTTCGAATGCTTCTCTTTGATTATCATATCAACCAACATAAGTTTTTCTGGAAGCAAAATAGGCAATCTAAAATTCTCGGTATCATTTCTCTCTGTCAATTTTGTTTTAATTCTATATATTCCTTTTTCATCTTTGAAGACATTCAATGATTTTAAGCTTTTTATATAATCTGCAGTAAATGCTTCATTTTGAATAACTTTTATAAGTTTGATTTCTGCATTTTCTACTTCAGCCAGAGTTAGTCCACCCTTTTTCCTATCTTTTTCAGACAGTTTGCAATTTTCAAGGAATCTTAGAATCCATCCAACCATTCTGACATTTTTTGTGTAGCTTGAAAAATAAGAAAAAAACTGGTTTGTTCCAAGCAAATTTTTACTTACGAGTATGGTTGTTCTTTTTTCCTTTTCCTTGTTGATAACGTCTTCATCAATTTTATATTCAGATAGAGGCCATGTGTTTTCAGGTAATTTCAACCAGGAAGGACCTTCCCACCACCTTGAACTCAATAATTTTGTTACCGAGCAGCCGCGTGATGGTAGATCGGCTGGATTAGAGTGACCGGGAACGTGTCGCCAATTTCCTGATGAAAGAGCACGGATTTCTTTAACTCTATTTCTGACAAACACACTCCATGGCTCATCTTTCTGGATCCATTGTAAAGCAGTTGTAGAATCGGACCAATAATGAATCTTGACATTTTC